GACTTTAATAGAAAATAAAATAATAACAGTTGTGTATGTATTAATTTGTAAAAAAACTATATAATATATGTCTTGGACTCTTGATTAATGTATGTATTATCAGTAAAGTTGTATGATATTTATACATCCTAGTATAATAATTGTAATGTATTTTTTCATATATACCATAAAAATATACATTTCCTATGTATTTATACAATATTTGGAATAATTTTGACATTAGATTTACTGATGTTAATAATACTTATGAAATTTGTATGCATTTTCCTAACGTATCCAACTATTTCCATATTTTCATTTGTATACATGTATTTATACACTTTGTGATTATTGTGACATTAGATTTAGTGATGTTAATATACTTTTGGAATTTGTATGCATTTTTCGAACATATCCAAGTGTTTCTATATTTTCGTCTGTATCGATGTGTTTCCAACGTGTATCTGTATCCGTATCCGATACGACATTTTTTTGCATAAAGTGACCGCTCTCGAGCACAAAACCATGTTCTCGTGATTGTCAACCTCAAATTTACCATTACACCATTCAATGGCCCTCAATAACAAAGGTGTAAACATTTAAAACTCCGAGGTGAACAATACAATTGGAAAATAGTAAAGAAAAAGAGACCAAACGATAGAGGGGGATGTTTGGGAAAAAAAACCATAAATATAGTACAGATGATCAATCAAAAACACCTTATAGTTCAATCAGCATCGAAAAAATTGCTAGGGATGAGGAATATCAAATTCCTCAATCTAAATGAGGAAAACAGTGTTCTTAAAATCATGTGTATTAGAGAGGAAAACCTGCCTCAGACAACCTTCGGTGAAGCTCGAGGGTCTAGCTACAGCCATGGAGACTGCTAGAACGGTGAAGGATGTTTCCCCTCGTGAGTTCGTTAAGGCTTATGCGGCTCATCTGAAGCGATCGGGGAAGATGGAGCTTCCTCACTGGACTGATATTGTGAAGACCGCCACATTCAAGGAGCTTGCACCATATGACCCAGATTGGTACTACACCAGAGCCGCTTCCATGGCCCGGAAAATCTACTTAAGACAGGGCATTGGTGTTGGAGGTTTTAGAAAGATTTATGGTGGCAGTAAGAGGAATGGYAGTCGTCCTCCACACTTCTGCAAGAGCAGTGGTTCTATTGCCCGACACATTCTTCAGCAGTTGCAGAAGATGAACATCGTTGATATTGATCCCAAGGGTGGAAGGAGAATCACCTCAAGCGGGCAGAGGGACCTGGACCAAGTTGCTGGAAGAATAGTGGTTGCTCACTGAGTCATTACATATTCTGTTTTCTGAAGGTCCTGTAGGGCTTTCTTTTAATTTTGATGTAGCCAATAGTATTGTTAGGAGTTTTCCTTCTCTGCTGCTTAGTCATTAAAAGATGG